TATTTAGATCTATTCTCGACTTAAATGTTGGCGGATGAAGAGTCAGTCCCTACAATGAGAAATTCATGAGTGAAAATAAACAAATAAAAGTTGTTTAATTTAGTATAGTATTGTTAATGTGCAGTACCTTTAACAAGAATCATCCGATTTCGAGAATGACCAACACAAAAGTGTTTGAGAAACAACAAAATTAAAAAATATAAAACTTAATTTGTAAAAGTATTTAAAATTGAATTTCAGAGCATTATGAACTTTAACTTAGATACAAAACCAAGATAAATGAGAATAATAAAACAATAGAAACAAACATATATGTATAATGCTAATTTGAACATGCAAATCTGTATTAAGAGGATGAAGGAAGAAAGAGGGAGAAGATGGAGGAATAAAGAGGGCTAGGTGGGGGCAACGACAGATGAAATGAAGAGGAAGAAGAAATTGGGATGTGGGGGGAACGACAGATGGAAGAAAGAGGGAGTAAAAAAAAGGGTTGGTGGACTTTTGAGGGGGTGGGGGATTTGAATTGTTAATGGATCATTAATTAAGGAGTTTAAATTTAAGATAATTATGAAATATCATATCTAAGGGATTTGTGTATCTGATTAAATATTTCAAAATATATAGTATAAATATTAAAAGTGATAGTATGTGTAATTGTTTTAAACTAAATGTAAATATAGTATATATGGTAGGGATGTATGTGTAGTTAGGTAGTTTTTCCAAAAGAAAAGGTGGACGGTGGGGCCCATCTGGGAAGCCAGGTGATGTAACAATGGACGCCAGCTGTGCACGCTCTCTCTTGTTACCAGCAAATCAACAAAATCAACAAACTTTTAGACCTCGCTACTTCCGCCAACCATTTCTTCGCCGGCACTTCCCCCTCAACATCTCCGGCGATGTCACGTTATCTATCAAATAGGGGTGGAACTCAAGCACAAAAGGTTCGTTTCGATGAAGAAGCGATTCCCGACGAGGACGAAGTAGGCGGGACTTTGAAATTGAGGCCCTCCGATAGCAACATCACGGAAGATCAAGAGCCTTTTATGGGAGTTAAAGTCCGTAGAAAAGCTTCTATTCATAGAGATTATATCGGTGATTATGTTGATGTGCGTTCTCGACCTTATCTCATGAAGATTCTCGAAAAGCAAGGTATTCTGAGCTTTCCTTTCTTTTTAAATTTTTAGGGTTTCTACTCTCAATGTGTTAAATTTGTGCTTTTTTATCTTTAATTTGATGTGACCTCTTCTTAGGTACTGCATATAGAGACATATTCTCTGTTAACAATTTGTATTTCGGAAAGCAAACTCAGATACTTCATTATTTTTTTTGGTTGCTGAACAGCGCTTATTGAATCTCTTTAACATCTATTGTTGTGCTGAATGTGTATCTGGAGTTGTTACTCTTTTTATTGGACAAGCAAATAGGGGAGCTTGAGTTTGAACGAATAAAAAGCACAAATTTTCTTGTACAGATACACTTGAACAAATATGAAGCACAAACTTTCTTGTACAGGTGAGAACAGCCCTTATCTCTAGAAATTCTAATCTATGTTGATGTGTCTATCTTTTGCAGGTGACAAAAAGGTTCTGTTTGCTGATACAGTTCTGAAGTTTACAAGCACAGGGAAGATGAAGCGGCGCATTCTCCTTGTAACTGATTTCGCCATTTACATTGTAGACCCAGAAAAAGGTGCACTTAAACGGCGGATTGCCCTGGCAGCTGTTGAGAAGCTCTGTTTGAGTGAATTAAGTGATAATTTCCTTGCAATTATCATTCCGACTGAGTACGATCTGCTCATGGCCAGTACTCGGAAGACAGAAATAGTAACAATCTTAGTAGATGCTACCAAGAGTCAATCTGACTATGAACTCGATGTTCTCTTCTCTAATAGGTAATTTGATTAGTTCATTGTCATTTTCTTATTCATCGTTTAAGTCCAAATTGTTTGTTAAGTTGTACGTCTGAACTTGATAAATTTTGAGCTGCACTAAACACACATCTCCAGTTATTGTCATAGATGCTTAGGGCACTGTTGTTAAAGACGCGTGTTTGATGCAGTTAAAGTTTCTACATTAGAGAAAGATAAAGACTTGGAGCATTTTCTGTCTCAACCTTAGGACAGACCTGTTCATATCCTAGCAATACTGTGGCTTGAGAATGATTCACTATAATTGCTTACCGTCAGATGAATACTCTCAATTCTGATTGGTATATCACTTGTAAACTGCTGAAATGTGGCAAACATGATGATTCTAGATGTCAAACCTTCCATTTTGTCCTAATGTCTGTAAAACTTTTTTTGTGGCCTCTGAGAAAAACTGTGGGGTGGAGACCCTTTTTTATTTTTTTAATAACATGTTGGATAGAATATTGAGTTATTGAAGCCGAAGCTGATTCAGGCGAAGAATTTTTAATCTGAGAAGCAAGTGATGCTTTTCTTTTATCGTCACAGGTGATGTGAAGGTTGAAATTACTTGTTTTTTTAGTAATGAAGTAAGCATTATCATTAATGGCATCAAGAAGATGCAAATAATTCAGATATTGCAAAAGATAGAAAGTACAAAAGAGATTTTGTTGCTCCATACAATGAGGCTTAAGTTGAGGATATGGAGTTAACAAAATCCAAAAAGGTGTAAGGAGAGTTTACAGGAGCTAAGTTGCTCCAAATACATAAACCTAGGAGTCATTAGCTTTCAGGGAGTGGTTTGGAGAATTGGAGTTGATATTCCATCGAAACATCTTCTGCTCCTTCCTTTCCAAACATTGAAATAAATTGCTAGTTCTAGACACAGAAAAAGAAAAAGGGCATGGGGTAGCTAGGGCAGGGTTGGAGCTATGTTTTCACACATGATTAGAGGTTGACTAACATGCTATTTTCTGATACCTTTTCGATCTGAAAAGATGCTAAATATTATGATGTACACTTAATTCACTAACGCAGATTTCATTTGACTATCAGTGTAGCATTTAGGACTAATGTAATGCTTGCTGCTCGTGATTATCTATTGTGTTTATACACATGCTGCTTCTTTTCCCCTTCCTCTACCTTGGATATTTTTTTGTCATTTTCATTTCCTTTTAAATACTTAATACTATTGTTTATATTGTTTCCTTATCTTAATCGTGCAGGTTTGAGTACAATGCAACTTCTGAGCTTGTTAAAGAAGTTCAATTTGAGCAAGTTGAAGGTTGGTAGTGGTTTTTTCTCACGACTTTTTCTATTTACTATCTTTCTCTGCAGATAGTGGTTGGATTTGACAATTTTCTAAATTCTCTTACCCTGAGCTGGTTTATTTTCTTCTCCTTCAATTTCAGCTGGTGTCAAAACAAGAATCTCACGCAAATGAACTACCCTTAGCGTGTAATGGTCTAAGAATGCAAACTACTCACTACCATGCCTGCAAACATGTCTTGCTATTTGAAAGGGGGAGCCGGTATTGCACTTCATCAAACAAATAACGGGGTGGGGAGCCAGGTGTATCATTCCATGTAGAAATGTGATCAATATTTACTTATCAAAGAACAAAAAAGGAAAAAGCGACGGAATGTATTATGATTCTCCTCATATGAGCTTGTTTCGTCATATTAGCTATCCCTGTCTATGTTTGTTTATATAGCTTGTTGCTCTCCTCCTCCTTATCTGGCTGTGTTGTGTAATATTGTACATTATCCAATTTATAAAATTGAGATTGTTTGGTGTCTGATAGTTGGAACACAAAAGTTATACATCAAGTTTCTACACCTAAGGGTAGATTGACTTTAACCATTGTGGATTTTATATACTATTATTTACAGTGATAAGACAGCTCATTTGTTATAGTAGTAAATAATGCAGGCAAGTTGATATTTTAAAAGAGAAAAGCAGGTAGAGTGCTGTGGACATAGAAGCCTTCTTTACGGCACATCAATGACTAATATGCAAATGTTGTAATGCATTATACATTTGAAGTCTGCGCCTACCATGTGCAAATTGATACCGCCTGTTTGGCTTCTATTCTCAAAATTATTTTCTGATTATATAAAAATATGTGATTAGTATTTGACTTTTGATTAAAATAATCAATTTGTTAATTGTACTAAAATTAGTTTCCTTGTATAAGTCCAGATTCTGATAATGAATTGACATTTAGCTCAGGTAATCCAAACCAAATACACATTTTAGCATCTCTATTCAACGTGGTAGGTGAACAAATATTTGGCAGAAGCTCGAGAAAGAAATGCCATCTTTATTACTGCTACCTATGCGTCCATTAGATTAAAGACGAGGTTAATGATGTTGGAATTACTATAATGTATAATTTAAAATAATTATTTATTTTCTAAGGAAAATAAAAGTGTGTTACTATTATGAAGGTTATCTTTATGATTTTAGTGTTTCTTAATATCTGCATTATTGTTTCACAATCTTTTCCACATAAATCAATACATAACATCTAGGTACTCCCTATATGTCTTCATTTTTAGCCCAATAAAGCTAACATTTATCAATAAAAATATGAGAAATTTTCAGAAATAACCATAGTTTGTCTAATTACGATTCATAGCAACAATTTAAGAGAGGATAAAGGGGAGCAAGATTTTGGAGAGAGAGAGAGGAGAGATGTAGAATATTCATGTTGATACATACATTATAGTAAGACAGAGTGATACATGTTGTATCATATGTATTCATTCGTAATCTATAAATACAAAGTTCGATACATATAGGTTAATACAGTTATATCGATTATATTCATTTGTGATATAAAAATACAGAAATGCAAGTTGTATTCCATACAACCAAACTGATATATAAATTGATGTACAAAGCTGATACAATATTGTTTGTTGATACAATCCTTAGATAAATACTGTTGATATAATTGATACATACAAGTATCTTTTCTTTCTTTTTTCTTTCTATATATCCATATTCGATATTTGATGTAATATAATTAATACAATTAAATAAATTATATGTCTTTGTTATGGAGTCCCACAGTTGGATGCAATCTTGAATCATTGTTTGATCATAAAATTTCAAATTTGAAAAATAGCTTATAACATAATCCATTTTTCACTTTTGAAGTTGTATTTAAGTACATTCATGCATTAATGTTGTTCCAAATATTTTTTACGAAAAAATATAACCAAACACAACTGTACCTTCAACTCCAACCCTATAAATTCCCAAAAAACGAAAAATATTTAGAATCTATGGCCAAACACCAAAATCTTGAATAATAATAATACATGGTCGCTTAATTTGGAAGGCACCAAGTTATTCGAAGCTTTTGCACCTTTCAATTTAAGGTCTGACCTACCATGTGCAAATTCATTCTGCTACAATTCAAATGTACTTGCTACTTTTTACCTGTTTGGTTAGAATTATCAAAATTACTACCCAATGTTTATACAAGTCATTATCTGATAAAATGATGAAAATAATCAATGCTTTTGAAGCACAAACACTTTTACTCTTATAGTAGCTAGAGTTAATGAAATGGTTGAACCACTTATCTGATGTAATCTTAAATATAAGATCAAGTAAATATTTCTATTCAATTTTGTAGCTGAAATAATGTTTTGACAGAAGTCTGAGGAAAAAACTTATAACAATGAAACAATTGAGCATATAGAACAGTAACTAATCACTAAATAACAAAGAAATATCAGTGTGTAATGGAAGACGACCCTATTTCAGTCATCGGTGGTGTCAGGTTCGGTGTAGAAGCTTCAGTGGATGTTCGAGTCCCCGTATTCACTCTCCTAACACCCTCTACCATCTTTACTACTTCTGTCATTTTTGGTCTCTGCTCTGGCATTCTGGATACACAAGTCAAACCTATTTGTAACATCTCTACCATTTCTTCTTCTATATTTGGATACCTCAAAAGCTCCACATCGAATACTTCAGCAGTCCACTCCTCACGAACGACAGAATGTACCCACCTGACTAAGTGGACAATGTCGCTAGTACCTGTGGCATGTGTAGGTGACTTTCCAGTGAGAAGTTCAAGTATTAGGACGCCAAAGCTGTAGACATCAGTGGTTTGAGATACTTTTCTTGAATCTGTAACTTCTGGAGGTTGATAACCAGCAGCTCTCACGATTGGTGTAGCAATTGGACCCATTATAGTTGCCAAGCCAAGATCAGAAATACAACCGAAACCTTGGGAGTTGAGGAATATGTTTGAGGATTTTATGTTCCCGTGGACAAGCCTTCCCCCAGACTGTCCATGTATTTGAGCAATGCCTCTAGCTGCACCAATGGCAATGCGTAGTCGGGTTTCCCAGTCCAGAGGAACTCGATCAGCAGACCTCTTTGCTGCAATTACAGAGTGCATCAGATATAATGATAGGAATACTTGAAGGTGCAGTTAAGAGACTATCCACCTAATAATGATAAAAGTTGACTGTAACACCAAAGCAAAGTTCGCGAGCAACATGATGTTCTTGAATTTTGACAAATTAAAACAGAAGTTGCACTAAGACATGGCCTAAAAGTGGCATGTAGTTATGGCTTCGAGACACTTATGCTGTCCTATAAACTATTGGTGATTAAAAAAACTATCAAGAGGACAACAACAGCAGATACTCTATTAATTCAAAGGTAATTGGTTACGTTGGAATTAGCCTACAAGCAATTTCAAATACTACTGCACAAGACACATCATAGCTAAAAATGATCTGCATTATCTTTTTGGTCCTGATAATCAGTTCTCTATGGTTCGGTTCAAAAATAAAACTGCAAGAGTAGTAGAAGTTGGGTGCTCAACATACCATGCAGCATCAAAGATGCACTCCCTTGGCTGTAGAAATCATATACCATGAGCTTCTCATCCTTGGAATAGTAGTATGCCCTCAGTGGAGCCACATTCTCGTGCCTGATATTGCCAACAACCTCCATCTGTTGCTCAAAATCTTTTCTTCCCACACTCTCCTTCAATCTCTTCACCACAACTGTGGTAGAATCCTCCAAAGCTGCCTTATATGTAGTGCCAAATGTTCCCTTTCCAAGCACTTCCGCTGAAGCTCTCAACAGATCTTCAAGGTCAAATGCAAGATTACAACCCTCAAAGAATGCGAGATTCCCTACTCCATGCTGACTGCTGGAAACTCCCTTCCTGACTATATCTTCTTTCTTGATTGATTTCTCTGTGGCCCCACTTTTACCCTCTTTCTTCGAAAAGCACATAATCAGCACTGCAGCTACTACCAAGAAACCTAAAACACACCCTCCAATTACAATCCCAAGTATTGCAGGTTCACGGAGTTTAAACGATTTCTTTTTTGGTGGGACACTTGGAGGAGGAACTGGAGGAAATGAAGGTGAAAAATTTGCAGGAGAAAGCTGGTTACCAGCAAAAGCTGAACCAGGAAATCTTTGAAGAGAATTGGGGATGCTTCCAGTGAAGTTATTGTTGGATAGATCTAATATTTGCAAACTAGGGAGATTGAGATCAGGAATACTGCCAGAAAGCGAGTTATTAGCAAGAACCAGAGCAGTCAAATGAGTCAAGTTCGATATTGAAGAAGGTATACTCCCACTAAAATCATTATTTGACAAATTCAAAACCGAAAGGCTTTTCCAAGCAGAAAAATCAGCAGGCAATGGACCTTGAAAGTTATTGGATTGAAGATAAATAGAAGTAAGATTTCCAAGTTTAGCAAAATCAGTAGGTAAACTACCACTAAAACTATTAGACCTTAAACTCAAGATCTGAAGATCAGACAAGCGGCTAAGAGTGTTTCCAGGAATCGAACCACGGAATCCAACTCCAGGCAACCTAATTGCTATAATTCTTGATTTGTCATGATTACAGGTGACTCCAGTCCAAGAACTGCAAGCAGAAGTTCTCTCATCCCAATTCAGGTTTCGGGTATGATTAACATTATTAAGGAAATCAAGAAGCGCTTCTTTGTCTTCATATGGTTCACTACTTGCTAGCCAGAACAGAGCTGTGCAGAATAAAACTGAAAAAAACAGGAACTTTGTAGCCATCCTTCTCCTCATCTGAGCTTAAACTACAAAGGCATCAGCTTCTAGTAACAGCACCCTTCATCTCTACAAGAATTTCAAAAAAAAATAAAAATGGAATCAGACATTGAAACGGTATGATGTTCATTATTCACTATAAATAATTACCATTTAAACTAGAGAACCGTTTCTTAACCATAAATATACAATTTATAGGGCAGCTAAAGTTACGTAGACACTCAGAACACATTTTGTTTTTGGGTCAACCACGCAAGTTAAGTAAAAGTTAGGTTTCAATAAACAGAATAGCTAAAGTAAAAACAAGAACCAGCTACAAATTTCTTCCGTCAACTTTTGGGGCTGCCAAAAAATGAAAAAAAAAAGAAAAAGAAAAAGGAACAAACAGGCATTTCACGTTCTTCACCTATTTCCAAGCACATACACATAAAAAGATTGAATTTTTAACACTTTTCTTGACCTTAAAGCAAAGTATGCATAATTTGAAAACTGTCGGCAATAACAAAAAGAACATTGAAATGAACCTGAATAGCAATACCCAGATAGCCAAATCACATCAAAATGGAGAAAACGGAAAACCCCACAAAATTCAGAAACTGTATAGTATACTAGCAAGTACCAGTGAGGCAAAAAATCAAACACTTGGTAGAGTAAACTGAAAAGAAGGAGTAGATGAAGAGGAAAATGATGGGAAGTAAATGCAGAATTAAGTAAGTAGCTAGAGAGAGACAATGATTAAATGAGAAGAAGGGGGGGAGTGGGTGAGAGACAATAAATGATTGAAAGGCAGTTAATTTGAAGAAGAAGAAAGCAAATAAAGAAATGGGGTATATGTATGTATTTGGTTAACAACGAAGCGAAAAGAGTGGGAAAAGCACGTGGAGACAAAAGTGGAACTACTACTACTATGATATGAAGAAGTTAAGTTAACAGTAATACACAAAATCAATTCTTTAACAATTTGCTTGGATTTAGAAGAAGAGGGGAAGTGGGTGCCAGTAAGGCAGGGAGCACCAGAAGAGCATTTTCCACCATTTCCGCCATTTTTTTGAAGCTCTTCACTAAAGGAAGACACACATTACTATTACGAAAAAGGGAAAGGAAATTAACCACTCTTAATCACGTCCCCCATGTTAGTAAAATCTAATTGGGGTACGGCTTTATTAGGTGAAATTAGTAGTGGAGTGCACCATGTTACACGCCAAATAAGGTACACAAGGAGATTACTTCTGAAAAATCAAACTCTCACCGATCAAAGTTAAAAGAAGATAACTAATCAATTATGCTATTAAGATTTTTCAGACGTCTCAAGTCAAATTATGTGAATCATTATTATGAAATAGGTTAAAATTGAGGAATAAGGTCAACTTTCTTTCACAAAATTGATACTCATTTCGTTTCTTTTTAGTTGTCATGTTGCACTTTTCGAAAGTAAGATTGACTAACTTTCAAAGCTAAATTAGATTATATTAATTTGATATTCAAAAACTATATGAAAATTGTTATAAGTTGCAATTTTTTTTAATCAATATGATTAAAAAATACATCTTAAAATGTTAGTCAAAGTTAATATCGTATGATTCTTGGGAACAAAGGGAATACCCAATTTATGGATTTTACATAAATATACCTAAAAAAAATGTAACTACTTAGAATCATACTTAAATAGTTTCTATGAGAAAAAATTTATCCGCTCCGGTGTATACACCAAACTAATGCAATTTTCATTATTATGTGATATAATGAACTAAAACACATGTTAATTAATTAAGGTTAAGTAGAATGAAGGCTTAAGTCATATACAACCCCCGTAAAGTTATCCGCATAATCCACTTAAACACCTCAGCTAGGACTTGTACCTATTGAACACTTAAATTGTTCAAAACATATACCTATTATACACAAAGTGCTTACGTGGCAAAATAAGTGTACCTCACTGCTGTTGAGCGTGTGAATAGGTTCCTATTTCATTTTTTAATTATTTTTTTTAGATAATTTGTTACTTTTTTCACACCTACATAATTAACTAAATAACTATAAAAAAAATAATAAAAAATAAGCTCTAAATCAAGAAAAAGAAACAACCCTTCCCCACACCCCTTTACCTGTCATCTTCTACACTCCATCTCAAAAATCTCTTGCGCTTCATTTTGATTCTACTTTCTTTTTTTTCATTTTTTGTTAAAACGAAAAACTCAATTTGCTAAACTTAATTTACTAGTTAAATTATTGGTTGTCTTCCCCCATTAAACTTTTCAATGTCATATTATTTAAAAAATTTATCGGCCGAATTTCTTTGCCATGACCCCCGCCACACCCCTTTCCCATACACTCCTTAATTATTATTTTTACTAGCGGCATTCCACCATTACCAATATTATCAAAAACTAAAATCAAATGTGTCAAAAATAATTCCGGCGAAACTCCATTTTTTTTGGCAAGACTAATACGAATCTGGAATTATTTTCTTTCAAGTTGTTCAAAAAATTCAAATCCTAAAGAACTCACAACATAGAAGAAAATAATAATAATATGAGAACCTGAATTGATGATTGAAAAAAAAGTGAGATTGAGAGAAATAACAACTACATTGTTGATGGATATCGAAATAAACGAGAGGGGCAGATGTATGAGTGAAAAAAAGAATCCGCTGAGAGAGAAAAAGGTGGAACGAAGATGATCGTTGATTTTAGTTGCAGCGGCTCTGTGTGTGTTCCGGTAAAGAAAGTGGAAGGATGGACGCAGGGTGGGTGGGGTGTTCTGGCAAAGAAGAAATGAGGGAAAGAAGAGTTTCTCTTTTTCTTTATTTTTCTTTTTGTTAAAAACATAGTTTTTCTGTTATTATTCTTTTTAATTTACTTTTTACTTATTATTATGGACGAAATGCCACTTTTTTTTTTATTTGTTACTATGCCACATCATTCGTAAGTGTATGACACACACTCTCTATTTTTAGTTGATTATCACAAAATGTTCAATAGGTATATTTTTTAACCAATCTTGGTGTTCAATTGGAACAAGCCCAAGATAAAGTGTCTAAGTGAATTATGCGGACAACTTTAAGGGGTCGTGTATGACTTATAAATTTAAACACATGGCATGCATGTATTGGATTAGTGTATACATACGGTGCGGATAAGTTTTACCCATTTCTATGACTTTGGACAATTTTATCACTCGTCTACACATGCTCTTTGATGAAATATTTTTATTGTTTTTACTTATACTCTTCAAGTATAATTTTGCACTTCAAAAATCATTTTTGTCCATGGTTTTGCAGAAAAAAAAAATAACAAACCGAGGGAATGCGTCGTCGATTTTTAGAAGAAAAAATATTACTATAATTTTCACACGAAAAATACGACAAACGTCTGTCAATTTTTTATTTATTTTTAAAAAATAAAATAAAATTGAGGAACAAGGTTGGTTTTCCCTCTATTTTTTTTGGATTGACCCTATTCATCGGGTCTGCCTTTTCATTATCTTTAGTAGTGAACTTTAATTAGTATTTGACATATATTTTTTTGTTAAATTAAATGAGAAAAATTACGTAATATTTATGGTATAGTTTTAAAATATAAATATAAAATATTATATTGGTGTAATCCAATTTAGTTGCAAGAATATATCTTCTTTTTTTTTGTTTTCCGAACACACAATCTATTAAATGACAATTGTTCATTTTACACTCGATCATATAAATTTAGATAAAGTTTTGTTTTTAAGTTTAATCGTTGTCTTCTTAAAGGACTTTAGAAGGAAAAAAAATGGAGATTGTTACCGGTCCACACGAAATATGGAGCATAAAAACAATGGATTGTCAACCGAAATAATAAATTTTATCAAATATAAAATAAAATAATTTGGCATTTTACTTTCAATTAATTAAACCACCTTTCAATGATCAAATGTCTTCTATCTCATGCATAGAGAGCTAGACAGGGAGATGTTTAGTTTAGTTTTTGATGTAAATTATTTATATTTAGAGTCCGTTTGGATTGACTTTAAATATAGTTTTAAAGTAAAAAATAAAAAGTTAAATTTAAATTACTTGTAAGTCAAAAAAAAATAAAAAGTAAGGGGAAATCTACTTTTGGTTTTTGACTTATTTTAAGTCATTTTTTATCTTGTCAAACACTTCCTAACTTATTTTAAGTTATTTTTTAAACTTATCAAACACTTCTCGAAGTCAAAAACTGACTTAATAATAGGTTTAATCCACTTTTAAGTCAATTCAAACACCATCTTAGTACTTGATAAATGGTCGCGATCCTAATTTATTTTTTTAAAAAAAGAGAATAAAAAGCAGTGTAAAACAAAAGATTTCCATTTTCAGAAAATCAGACAAAAAAATATGGATGCAACCGTTTCGTACGCAACGTTAGTAAAAGTTTATTTATCCTTACCAAACTAAAGTAATATACATGGTCTATAATATGTATGGGAATAGGGACAAACAACATAACTACATAAGGCGTAAAGCTGCGTGAGATGGGCGCACCGCATAAGTAATATTTTATCGGCTTAAGTCATATGTGACCCCTTAAAATTGTCTGCATAATTCATATAAACATTTCAACTAGGATTAGTACCTATTGAACACTTTTATCTATCTAAAACTTGTTTCTATTAGACCTTTTTTGATAATCAATAAAAAAAAGTAAAGTGTGTGATACACTTGCTATGATGTGGCAAAAATGACTAGTTAAAAAATGACATGTGGCACTGGACCCCAACATCTATAGAACTTTTTTTTATGTTAAAAAGAATGAAAATTATTTCAAATAAATTTTATATCTATTTTTAATGAAATGACAACACATTTTACTCAACCCCACCCCCCTTTCTTCTTCAACTACTTCCCAGCAAATTTATTTTTCTCAAACAAGAAATACCAACTTCACTGCAAATCACTTGCAGATTCAATGTTTTTAAAAAAATATTGTTTATTCCTAATACGCGCGAGAGAAAGATATTCAAAGAGACTAATACAATAGTGATGAAGAAGTTTGTCAATGGTTACTCATCCCGAAATCGATTGCTAAGAAAAATCAAGAGGATCCAAATTAATTTTATCGAAAAATATTTTTCATTCCTAATACGTGATAGAGAAAAATATTCAAAGAGTTGGTACAAGAGTGATGAAGAAAAGAAGTTTGTCAATGGTTAATCATCTTGAAAATCGATTGCAAGGAGAAAGCAAGAGGACCTAAATTAATTTTATCTAATTATTTGATATTATTTTTGATAAGTTTAGTGGGTTTACAATTTAATTTGAATGGTGATATTTTTTCGAAGGTGGCTGAAAATGGAGATGTAACGTCGACTAACTTTTTTCATCCTGATATTTAAAAATCTGCTTTCTTTATTTTTCTTGCAAATTCAGTTAGTTGATATAGTTTTTTTTTTTTAATTAATATTAAAAAGAAATAGAATTGAAAAAAAAAATGAAGATTCTTTAGTTGTCTTTGAAAATTTAAATTTGGTGAAGAAGATGATTTGAGGGGTGAGGGGTGCTCTTTCTTTTTTGGATTAAGAATTACAATTTTTTAAAAATATTTAAAAAATATTTTAATATATTTAAATGCCAAGTGTCAATTAAAGAAGAAAAAGAACAAGTTTTTTTTGGAAAAATAAAACATTATTCCAAAAAATTTCACGAGCCCAAAGAAAGTGAAAAACACTTATTTTGCCATATCAACATTTTGTGTTTAATAGATACATTTTTTGAATAATTTAATTATTCAATAGGTAATAATCCTAGTTAAGGTGTCTACATAAAATATGCGGACAACTTTAAGGGCGGTGAATGACTTAAGCCTATTTTTATCTCTAATCATAATTTATCCGCTAATTTTTCAATATTCAATTGTTGGACCTTACACTTAATTAGTTTCATTCAAACTTAATCATGATCATAGATAAATTATCTAAATTTCGATACCACAAAAAAAATCTTCTATATTTGTTTTGACTAGTCTATAAAATCGAGAAGTTTATATGAGTAAGAAGAAGAGTATATTACTAGTACTATATTCCATGACATATTTATATATGTAGAAGATGGTTTAAACACTACTTATAGAATATTAATTATTCATATTCTTTCCTAATCCTTCCTTCAATTAGTGTGAAATCAAAATCAAGGGATAGGTAGTATAATTAACACGATT